TGGTGTCACAGATCTGTCTTAGGCTAGTTGCAGGGGCTGAGCCTGATGTAGATTGAGGCATGCAGTGCTGCTAAAAGCATGCAAATTGCTAGCCTTTGATACTTTCTGCAACAAGGCATCTAGCTGTTTCTGTTAATATAGCCTTGTTATTGTGGAGGCCCTGGAATTGCAGGCAGGATTCAAGATGCAGGTGTCCCTTTAAAGAGAGTAACATAACTGCACTCTGATTTTTATTTTTGCTTTTTCTTCCCTTCTGCCTGCTGTAATTCCTAGTATTCAATGACTCATTCAATGACAGATTTTTGATGCCTCTGTAGCTGTCTTTTGTATAAAAGAATCGATTATAACCCCTTGGGTCTTCATGTCAAATAGTAGTGAGCTTGCAGCCTGTCGCGATGCGTAGTGTTCATATAAATCACGTGCCCCCAGGGCTAGATAGGCAACCTGTGACCCATTTTTTTTCTTCCCTCTTCTGATATTCTCAAATATTCAGAAACCCATTCCTGCATAAATTTTAAAGACAAAAGTACATTCTCAACAAAGATCACAGATTCTATTTTTCATGAAAGGCATAACTGTTTTTGTAAGGACATCAAGCCTTCATCAAAAATGTCAGATGAAGAATAAGCTAGGTCTATGATTTCAGTAATTATTCTCAAACAGTGCAGTTGACTTAAATATGATATATAGACCCCAGAAACAGACATTTGTTAACAGTTGGCTGTGTCCTGAGTTACTAATGAAGTAATGCCATTTCCTGGTACTATCTGTATCTCACCTTGTACGTCTTTGTGCTAAGTCTAATAGTGCAGTGCTGAAGCTCATGCTAGGCTGTTTTTCTACCCTTTCTTTTAAATCCTTTCAATATGGTAATATGCTAATGTGACCCTCCCCCCCCCCATTGTAAGCAACCATGCTTTCTTCTCCTAGCTATGTTGTATTACTATCAATTGCAGCATTCTAAATTTTGTTCAACTTATTACCCAGAAGCCCAGTTTGATTAACAATTATATATTAACTATTCCTATAGAAACAACTTGCTTTTTTTTCTGCAAGCGTAACAGGTCTGATTTTGTAGCTCCTCTTAAATCATTTGGAAAGGTGAAGAATATTTTGGACTTGAGAGCAGATTCCAGCAGGACTGCATTGCTAGTTGTCTTTGGGACAGTGGTGCTGTCTAAACTTCTAAAAAAGTTATCAGTTATTTTTAGTTCACTTATGCTAGAGCATTAGTATGGCATGTATTGCTATCTTTTTATTGAATACCATGTGGGAGTAGGGTAAGTGCATTACAGACCTGCAAGCTTGAAAAGAAAACTCAAAAGACCTATTTTCTATATCATTTTCGAATTGACTTATCATATAACCATGCTTTGATTTGCTAATAATTAGGCCCTCTATTAGCCTTATGAGGGCAGAGAGGGGTTTGCAGCTATATTATGATCAGACTACTCAACCTGTGTTAACTTGAATTAGTTAAAGCAGGATGGATGAGAGGGAGGGAGGGGTTGTACCCCAAGAGGGAACACAGAGAGCTCTAAGGCTCCCCCAGCTGGGAAGTGGGAACCACAAACTTGAGTGGGGACACAAACACACCTGGGCACCCTAGGGCCACCCCTACCCTGGGGCACAAACTAGGTACCCAGCCAAGTCCCCCCATAAGCCCTGCTCACCCTGATCCTGTACATGGCATTGGCACCCGTGCTGCATGCCGGGCTCAGGGAGTTTTGGAGACTGCTGTGCCATCCTGGTGCCCCCCTCTACATCTAGGACAGAGCGTCCTTACGAGGTCCCCTCCACCTGCAGGGTCCCCCAGGGCGCCGCCTCCAACGCTGACAGCCACGCGCAGCAGCC